AACATCATTTAGGTATAGTTCTAATTTGTATTTCCCTCATTATAAATGAGGTTAGACATTTTTTGTATGTTTAAAAGTCATTTGTATTTCCCTTTCTGTTAATATAATTTCTGTTTATATAATTACCTTTTTTATTCTATTGGGATGTTGGTCATTTCCTTATAGATTTCTAGGATCCCCTCCACATATTAGGGAGATTAGGACTTTGTGAGATGAGCTGTAAATATATTTCCCATATTCGTCTCATATCTTTGCTCATGGTGTTTTGGGGATTTTTTCCTATTAAGACTTACTTATGGACTCAACCTTTTTCTTTTATGGCTTCTGGATTTTGAGTCATAATTAGAAAGATCTTTTCCACTCTAAATTTTTTAAGGAATTCTCTCATGTTTTCTTCCAGAAGTTTATGGTTTCTTAAAATTTGAAAACTAGTAGTTTTCTCTTTCTGATATATTTTTTCCTACAAATCTCTTGATCTTTTTGTGCAGCTGCCCAAAGATTCTTTATCTTGAAAGTCCAGTAACCACACTAAGACACGTCTAGGTGCTGCTCCTTTGGGATCAGTTTTCCCTGGCATATAGTGTACTCTTTCATATGTAGATTCGTGTCTTCTTTTATTTTGTTGGTAATTTATTTAGTGGTATAATTTGCATACCATAAATTTCACTTGTTTCAGACATGTCAGATTTTCAGTGAGTTTACAGGGCAGGGCAGCCATTGCCATGCCCCATTTTTGAACTTTTCTACGTTCCTTAGAAATCTTTCATGCATGTTTATAGTCATCCTCTCATTCCTATCTCCAAGTCCACAAAACCACTAGTCTACTTCTGTCTCTGTATATTTGTTTTTCCTGGATATTTCATGTAAGTGGAACCATACAATATGCGGTCTTTTGCACCTGGCTTCTTTCACTTGGCATAGTGTTTTTGAGGTTTATTAGTGGTGTGGCATGTGTCAGTACTTCATTCCTTTTTATTGCCAAGTAGTATTCCACCATACAGATATACGATTCATCATTTGTTAATCTATTCATCAGTTAACGGACATTATTTCCACTTTAGCTTCTTGTCTCTTATGAATAAAGCTGCTATGAATGTTTGTGTGGATGTATGCTTTTGTTTCTCTTGGGTAGATACTTAGAAGTAGAATGTCTTTTTAAGAAACAGCCAAACTTTTCTAAAGCACCTGTGCCACTTTACATTTCCCCTGCAATGTATGATGGTTGCAGTTTCTCCACATCCTCACCAATGTTTGCTATTACTTCTTTTTTTATTGTATTTATTATTGTGGGCATGTATATCATTGTGGTTTTAATTTGCATGCCCTTAACATCTAATGCTACTGATCATCTTTTCCTGAGCTCATTAGCCATTCATATATCTTCTTGGTTGATATGCTATTCAAATCTTTTGCCCATTTTTTAACTGGGTTGTTTGTCCTCTTATTTTGGGGTTTTAAGCATTCTTTATATGTTCTGGATACAAGTACTTTATCAGCTATATGATTCATAAGTAGTCTGTGGCTAGTCTTCTCATTTTTTTAATGGTGTCTTTTAAAGTGCAAACATTTTTAATTTGCATGAAATCCCATTTTTTTTTCTTCTGTGGTGTCACATCTAAGAACTCTTTGCCTAACCCAAGGTCATCAAGATTTTTTCCTATCTTCTAAATTTTTATAGTTTTAGTTCTTACATTTAGCTCTATGATCCATTTGTAATTAATTTGCATGTGAATACCCAATTTCTCAAGCTCATTTGTTTAATAAAGCTATGCTTTTCCTAAATGTGTTCATAAATTATATTTTAAAATATTCTATTCCATCGTTTAGATTTTTTTCTTTAGGGGCTCTATTTATGGGTTTAACAATGCTCCTTGATTTTCCTCTCTTTCATTTTCTCTCTGATCCTTTTTGACTCTGTTTGCATTCTATTTTGGCCACTTTTCTTATTTCTATCCTTATTTCTATGCCTGTCACTGAATCGTCTGCTAGGTCTAATTTCCCATAGGCTTCTTTTTCTGTTGTCTTCCTTGCTATGCCGTTCTTATTTTCTTTTCTACTTGTTTTCTGGGGTTTGCCTGTTCACATTTCCTTGCGTGAGCCTGAGTTCCTTCTGGGAGTGTATTTTTGCTGGCACTTTCTGCACTCCATTCCCATCAAGCTGTGCTTCCAGCTGTCTGCTTTGCTGCTCACTTCCCCCAGGTGGCTTCTGTTACACTCCCCCTCTTCAGGCTTTGAGGGCAAATGTGGTTGCGTTTGGCAGTCCTTACATATATTTTGAATCTGCACATTATATCTGTCACCTTGTTTTGCTGAAAATGGAGTTATTTTCCTTCTCATTGTTTCATATGCTATCCTAGAGGAGAAACAAATTGCCATCTTGTGCCCCCACACTCGTATCTGAGAACCCTAGTCAGGGATCTCTGCTTATGTATCATCCTAATAACTCCCTCTGGCCACAGTCAGACACTGGTATCTTCCAATAATGTTAGAAAATTATAAGATATTTTCTCTTTGAAAATCACCTCTCCCCCTGGTCTCTTATATTTCCTTCTTGAATTCACTCCATCCTCTGTGAAACTTCTTGCTCTGTTATTCATATTTTTAAACCTCTCTTCCATATGCTTCATCTCTCTGGGCTGCATTTTGCATAGTTTCTTGTAGAGCTCCTAGGAAATGTCCTGAGTAACCATGCTATTTAAAAATGTGGGCATCTCCTTCTCCCCGTCCCCCACTGTAGTTTCTCCACATATTTTTCACCATTTGACACACTGTAGTTGGATGTATTTTGTCTTTTTTTGCTAGTTTTTAAATTCTTAAATAAACTCCTGATGTGAGCATAACATACCTATGGAAAAGTCCACAAACCAAAGTGTCCAGCTCAAGGGATCACCACGAAGCAAATAGATCTACATACCAACATTCCTAGACCGTGAAACAGTGCCAGCCTGCCGGAGGCCCAGGAGCCCCTTCACTCCCACCCACCAAGGGCAGCCATTCTCTTAACCTCCAATTGTTTTGTCTGGTTTTTAACTTTACATAAAAGAAATCGTAACATGTAGTCTTTGGTGTCTGTCTTCTTTAGCTCACCATTTTATTTGGGAAATGCATGCATGAACCCAAATGACTGTAGCTCATTTATTCTCCTTGATATATTCTGCTATATATGTAGCCTGTAATCTATCCCTCCTACTGGTGAGGGGGATTTTTGGTGGCTTCCAATTCTGAATAGTGCTGCTATGGCCATTTTTACACATGTCTTTGATAAGGCCATGTATACCTTTCTATTGGCTGTGTACCTAGGAACGGAATTGCTGGGTTAGAGAGTAAGTGTATTGATTTTAAGCTGCTCGTTTTCTTGGAAGGATACCTGTGGGAATCCTTGGGGACTTGACTAAAGTTTTATTCCCAGAGAGGATTTATCTTTCCTCCCTCCAGTTACCTGGGGCACTGCCAACCAAAGTCTACTTTAAATTTTCTCCAGACCACACAGGCAGCATGAATGCAGAACACAGCCTGCACAAGGGCCCACTTTTGTGGTTAAGAATTTTCGGGGAAGTATCCTGCCCCTTCTCCCTGTAGCCATGCTGGAGATGGGTTTCCTCACTGTCGTCTTCTCTGTGGTGGATTATTTCTCACTGACTGAAGGTTTAGGGTTTGGAGTGCCAGCTTTGCATAGCATATGAGTTTGTTAGGGCTTCCATAACAAAATACCACAAACAGGGTGGCCTACAACAACAGAAATGTATTCTGCCCCTGCTCTGGAGGCTGAAAGTCCAAAACCTAGGCGTTGGCAGGTAGGTTCCTTCGGGTGGGTCTGCGGGAGCACGGCTCCTGGCGCTCCTCCTGTTTCTGGTGGTCGCCTGCGATCCTTGATGCTCCCTGGCTGGGAGACATGTCCCTCCGTCTCTGCCTACCTCTTCACACCATGCTCTCCCTCTGTCCTTGAGTCTTCAAATGGCCATCGTATCTCTGTGTGCCTCGTCTTCTTACAAGGACACCGGTCATATGGGGTTAAGGGGCCACACTACTCCACTGTTACCTCATCTTAACTAATTATGGCTGCAACGACCCTATTTCCAAATAAGGTTACACTCTGAGGCAGGGGGTTAGGACTTCAATGTCTGGATAGGGGACACAGTTCAGCCCATAGCACATGGGTCTCCTGTTAGAGTGCAAGGCTCTCTCTTCTGACTCCTGAGCCCCAGCAGCTGTCAAAGAGAAGTGCAAGTTCAGCAAGATTTGCCAGAAACTCAGAGGACACAAGTCAGTTTTGCTCTGCTTGCCCCACAGCTTTTCTGCTTCTGCTTTACTTTTGGCTTCTGTGGATTTCTTTCTTTTATGTCAACTTAGGAATACATCTCAGAAAAATGATCCATGACGTTTCATCTTGCTTTTCCTCTTCGTTTCACTAAGGAACATCGCTGGGGAGCATGGTCTGCCATGCCCATCACTGGCTTTGTCTGTACTTACTCCCCTGACTCTGTTCCTCACACAGGCCGGCCCTTTATGTGAGATGTGTGCCCACCCCAGCCACCCCGCATCTCCTCCTGAGCCCAGGGGCCACTCCTCTACCTCACAGACCACCCAGAAGGGAGGCCTACCTCGAGGCATGCCCCTGCCTTGGCATCTTGCCTGAAGTTAAGGGTGTGGGGTTCTGGAGCTAGATGTGTGCATTACAACCACCTGGCTGTGCCACCACAGGCAAACTACTTCTCATTACTAGCCTGGGTTTTCCCACCTGTAGACTGGGGACCCTGGAAGGCCACCTGACACACCGAGCACAATGGGTACCTGGTAAGGCCGTGTTCATTGAGGGGCATACCTTCTCACTCAGCCCTCAGCCCTCCCTTGGGCAGGAAGGGTCTGATCAGGATGATTATGAGTAGATCACACCACTGAGGAATGAAGCAGCTCAGGGAAGGTCCTCTGAGGGGGCACAGAGAGGGTAGGCCTTCCAGAGCCCCTCACACACCTGCCCTGCATGTGTCTCTGTGTCTCAGGGAACATCTACCATTATGTGCCCTGGTACAACACCAAGCCAGTTGTGGCTGTGACCTCCTACTGGGAGGATGTCAGCTTCCGCATGAACTGCCTCAACCTCCTCCACTTCACTCGGGACCGCCTGGTGAGTGGTGCTGGAGGGGGCACAGGGAAGGACCGGGATCACTGGAGGAGGCGTGGGAAAATGAAACACAGTCATAGGAAACCCGTCCTCAGCCCCCTCATGCGTTCCACACTGCTAACCAAAGAGCCAGCCCTGAAAACACAAAGATGAATAAACATACCCCTGACCTCACCATCTGGGAAGTTGGATGTGCAAATAATTACAGTGCAGTACAACTAGGCTGCAGTGGAGATACAGGTACCAGAGCCATAGGAGCAGAGAGATTTGGGGCAGGGGAGGGCAGATGAGAGGATAGTCATAGGAGGTGTTTGAAAAGGAGGTAACATTTGAGCAGTCTTGTAGAATGAGGAGTTTGCTGGGTGCATGGTGGGGGATGCAGAGAATAGAACAATGTTCAAAGACATGGTGATGTGAATGTCAGGGGTGGCGGGGACCTGGAGATGATGTGGAATAAGGCCAGAGAAGCTGGGAAGGGTCAGATTACAAAAGGTCTTAGGTGTCTGTTAAGAAAGGAATCCACTCAACAATTTTAGGTAGGAGAGCCACCTCAGACATGACTTGTGCCTACAGAAGGGAAGCCTAGGGTCAAGACCTCCACAGTCCCACCCCATCCTGGCTCCCTCCTGTCATCCATTTCTTCTGTTGGGTAGTGGGGAGTGTGTGTGGGGATCTCAGCCTTGCAAAGGCATGTAACAGCTTTAGACTAACATCCCTAGGTCACCCCTCAAAGATCCCCAAGTCCTGGGAAAACATCTGGGTCTAATCAGCCCTGTAGCCTGCCCTGGGAACCCCATGCTCACTTGCAATTTCTCTCCTGCTGGGCAGAAAGCCAATCTGGACACCCTGAGATCCATGAGGAATCCAAGGGACCCAGCCTTGCTCCCACAGTGGAAGAAGCTGCTGAGGGAGCTGGCAGAGGACTGCAAGTAGGCATGGGGCACTGCTCGGGGCTGGGGGCTCAGACCTGCACCCTACAGAGCTATCTCCACCACCACCCTCCCCACCACCTCCTCAAGAAACACGGCTCTGCTCAGATCCCTCCCCAGCTTAAACCCAAACAACAGAGCTGCTTCACTCCCACTCGGGCCCTCCAGGAAATGGTCCTGACCTTCCACACCCAGCATTGTCCCTGCTGTCCACACACACACCTGATGCAACTACCAAACCAAGTCTCTCCCCGTTATCCAGACAAGCTGCGTTTGCTTCTGGCCCACACCTTTTCCCTGGGGCTGCTCCCAGCTCTAGCGTCCTCTTAGGGCTCTGTCTGTTATGGAAGATCCATTATCAGGCCTCTCCCAGCCCCACCCCCCACTTGGATTCCCCCCCCACCCTCCAGGGTTTGGTTGGCCCCTGTCTCAGGGTCCATACCTGCATCCAGGAGGTTGTTGAGCAATGGCTTGGCACCCCTGGGGGTTGGGAGGATGGGAGAGGGATGGATGAGACCCAAGGGCCAGCCACAGTGAGCAGCAGCCTTCCTAAAGAAAAGCAGAGGACAGGGCAGGCCAGCAGAGGACGGGGCAGGCTCTCATGCCTAGGAAGGGCACGCTGGCCTACGGCAGGACAGGAGGCCGTGAAGTGGTGAAATGGAAAAGAGGCCCAGCCCCCTGCTTCCTGGTCCTGGCCACAGGCGCCCTCTGCCCTGCATGACTAATCAGCCCAAAGCCACCAACCTGGACCAGAAGAGGTGGCAGCTGCGCAGCCTCCTCCTGCAGGAACTGGCCCACAAAGCCAAGGAAGTCAAGCCTAGGGACATGCTGGCCACAGTGGAAGGCTGGCTATACCGCCTCAACGCTGTGCTCCCTGAGGTGGGCACGGACACCCTGGCCAGGGAGCAGGCCCTGGAGCTGGTTGCACAGACCTGATGCTCTCCTGCCTGGCAGCCCCAGGTGAGCCTCCCGGACGTGATGATCTGGCTGGTGTCCAACAAGCAGCGAGTGGCCTACGCACAGGTGCCTGCCCACAGCATCTTGTTCTCCCCGGCAGGGGCCCTGCACTCCGGCAGGTTCTGTGGGAAGACACAGACCCTCCTCCTGCAGGTGGGGAAGCCGGGAATTGTCAGGGGAGGAGAGGGCCCAGAAATCCCAAGGAGAAGCCCTGAACCCTTGGGCAGTACCCCAGAGCCTCCCCATGGGCACACCCACTCCTATTTCCCCTGCCCTTTGCCAGGTGACCCGGGGTTAAATAGTCTCCAGAGGAAGGCAGGGGCCTGACCATGTGGCTGACACCATGTCCATGTCCCTCAAATTTTTCTCCTCCGTCATCTTCACGCCACACCTGGTTCAGACCCTCGTCATCTCCCCTGGACCATGATGGGTGCTGTCCTCAGTATTTAATGCCTATAAGGTTTAGGCACCAGCCCATCATGTCAGATGTAAGCCATCAATAAGGCTGACTGGCCACCACCACCACCCTGATGACAGCCCCTGCTTCCAGCCCTCCACAGAAAGGCAGGTGGGGGCCACCCCCTCCCTCTCAGAGATATCCTGGCTCCCCATTGCCTCCTGCCTGGCCAGGCCCAGCCCCCTCTCACTGCATCAGCCCTCCTGGGCCCCACACTCCTAACATAGGATCCCTCTGGCTCTCCCCACCCCAACTCCCTTTGCCCTTCCCACCACCCATGCCCATCTGAGTCCTCCTCATCCCACAAGAACCACTGACATTGAATCCTGGCTCCTCCACTCCTTGGCTTATATGACCCTGGGCCAACTCCTGCCCAGGCCTCAGTCTGCTCCCCTGTAAAACAGGCCCAATAATAATGCCCAACTCATGACGGCATGTGAGGATCAGCACACGCTCCACATTCAGCACTTAACACAGTGCCTGACCCGCAGCCAGCACACAATAACCCAGGGCTAGGTGACTGTCAATGTCACTTGTCATCACTGCTCCTCCTGGAGCCTTCCCAGGCTCCCTAGGGGCTCTGCCCCTCTCCCCTCCAAGGCGCCCCCAGCCTCTTTATTACACTGTGGTCACAGGTAAAACCATTTGCATGCTGGCTCCCACTCCGGGAGGCAGGAAGGCTATGCCCTCCACTTTTTAGCCCCAGCATGCAGCTAAGTGTAAGGTCGCTGCTCCGGGACAGAGGCCGGTATGTGTGACTGTTCCAAGTGTGTGCCCTTCCCTCACCTGTGCCCCTGCCCCTGGGGAATTGGCCTGCTTCTGGCTCAGTACCCAGAGGGTGAAGGACAGAAGGGCATGCTCCCGGCCTCTCTCCGTGTCTGCATGTGGCTTGGCAACGTCGCAAACAGCAAGGATCTGCAGCTGCTCCGCCAGGGTGAAGTGGTCGTATATGCTGAGACGGTGAGCACGGCCCAGGGGGTGCAGGTGGGAGGGTTTGGCTACAACAGCCCAGCAGCCAAGGTGGAGAAAAACACTCCTGGCAGTCTGAGAATTGTGAAAGGGGGTCCAGTAGAGGCTTGGGTCCCTTGTTGGCAAGCCATAGGTGCGTGGTGACAGGGGAGAGCTGAGCGGTCCCCCGGGCTGGTGACTCTCTCCCTGATGGGGGATTCTGAGGAATTTCTCCCAGTAAGTTCAGGGCATGTGAGGTGAACAAGGCTCCAGCCCAACCTGGCAGCCTGAGACCCCTGCAGACCCCAGCTGGGTCCTCAGGTCAGCCCAGTGGTCACAGGAAGGGCCCTGGAACAGTCAGGGGAGCAAGAAATTGAGGCATCTTCCCACAGGACCATAAACCCAGGTGGGTGAGCAGTCAGGGGAACACAGGGCTCAGGAGAAGGCTCTGAGAGCGGAGGGGAAGTAAGTCTTGAGTTTCTGACTTTTTAATTTACTGAGTTAAAACATTTTTATGGTTCCTAAGTTACATGTTATGGATGGATATATCATGATACATGGAACGGGCCCCTACACAGTTCTTGGAGACGCTGAAATGGAGGGAGGATTTGGGATGTGGTGCAGGGAGCAGAGACCATATGCCCAGTAGGGAACTGTGGAAGAAAAAGCTCAGAGGCAGCAAAGAGGTAGTCAGGGTGGGGCAGGCCTGGGTTTGCCTGGGTCAGCAGTACACCGGGAAGACAGGTTACCCTGCAGAGGCTGGCTAGCTCTAACATGGGCATCCACTCCGCTCCGCCTCGGGAGCTAAGCCTCAGTCTCCTCCCCTGTGAGATGGGACTGTGGGGGTCACAGGGTAATCCCGCCCCCGACTGACAGCTGGACAAAGTGCTGCCTGGGTGGGTGGTAACACAAGCTCCTGGCCCGAGAGGGGGCCATGTGGCCCTTCCCTGCCTGACCACCATGTTTCTAGGAGGCTCCTGCAGCCCAGGGTGGGCCAACATTCCTCTGGGTGCTGGGGAGGCAGCAGGCACTGATGGCCTCCTTTCCCCAGTACGAGAACCAGGCCAAGTATAAAGACGAGTGGGGACCGCAGGGGCTGTACCGCTGCCCCCACTTCTCAGACGTCATGGGACACAAGGCCCTCCCCAAGGAGGACTTCAGGGAGCCCCATGGATGGCACTGGCAGGGCCAGTGGGCGGTGGAGCCTCAGAGGAGGTAAGGCTGGGCACAGGGCCTGCAGGCTGTGTGCCCCTGGATGTGCAGCAGGGGAGGTGACCCTTTCCACCCAAGGGCCAGTTCACAGCATCCCAAAGAGGGGGGCATCCAGCCATGCAGCCTGGTCCCAGGCCTGGGGTGCACAGACAAAGGGCCTGCCTCCCAGATGTCCTGTATGCCAGGCCCCACTGCCAGGCCTCACCCTCAGCCTACAGAGGAGATGCCTAGGGACCTGTGGGTTCAGGAAGATGTGCTGGGAACTTGGGGTCTTGCTGTCCCCAGACTCCTCCTGGACGTAGACATCAATAAGAGCCAGGTGCTGGAGGAGGTATATGAGAACCAGTGCCGTGACCCCGCGGGGGCCTGGGTGCCCGCAGCCATCCCCAACACAGACGTGGTGAGCAGGGGTGACGCTGCCTCAGGGATGTGGTTAGGTGGGGGCCACGTAAGCTGGGTTGTCTAGACCAGGGGTTACCATCTGAGCCCTCCTCCCCACACACGGCGGGGACCCTGGGTGAACATTGATGGGGTTTGTATTCCAGATGACAGGTAAAGATACTTAAATAGGACTGTAAGGAACAAAAGGGGACAGTGTTTCCTTCCCAGGCCTCTCTCAAAGGTAATGCTTCCCCTGAGGGAGAGACTGGTTAGAGCTAGTCAAAGTCATCACTGTCCATCCAGAACTTTCTGGTTTGATGGAAATATTCTTTATCTGCACCACCCATTGTGGATACTGAGTACTTGAAGTACTTGAAGTGTGGTACATGTGAGAGTAAGAAACTGGACTTTGCATTTTGTTTCATTTTGATTGATTGACATGTGAGCAGCCCTAGGAGGCTGGTGGCTGCTGCATTGGACAGCATGGACCTTGCCCATCTCTCCCACATGCTAACCTCCCCTCAACAAGGACAGAGCCAGCTTGGGTAGGGACAGCCCAGTCTCTAGCTGAGGTTTAGTCACACTATTTTGTTTACACAGACATTAATATGGTTATTTCCTATTTATGGTGAGTGAAACCGATTTTCCATTGATAGTGGTTACACAAAGTTTTCCTTTAAAAACAGCCATACAGTCAGTAAAAGCACACTGAGTGAATATGCTGGTGGCATTAGACACAGCAAATGCTGTTTGCTCAGCGTAGGAGGACGGGTAGGCGCACAAGTGGGTGGGAAGGCGGGGTGAGGGCCGCATCCTAGCTCAGACACTCCAGCCTTCCCTCTCTGTCACTCACAGGATGGACAGCCAGTGGAGGCCCGGGAGAATGTGAAGTGCCCCCAAGGCTGGCACGTTAAGAAGTGGGCCGTGGAACTGAACCCCACAGTGGACAGTGAGGGTCCGTCTCTGGTCACAGGCTGGGAGCAGGAGATCCCAGAGCTGCCCTGGTCAGACACTGCCCACAGCCTCAATGCAGCAAACTTCTGGGGGTGGATGGGCCTGCATTCCTGGGTGTCCTCCAGCCTCCAGAGAGCAGGGCCTCCACCCTTTCCAATGAGGGGGCCCCAGAGCAGGTTGTAAATGCCTCCCAAGCACTTGAACGGGAATCTGGTCATGGAGCCTGGGTAGCTCCAAGGAAGGAGCCATGGGCTGGCAGGCAGAAGACCTTGGCTCAAGGCACAGATGCTGTAACAGGCTGTGTGACTTTGTGCAGGCCAACCGATGTCTCTGGGCCTCACCTTGCTCATTTGTATGATGGGCAGTTGGTCACCACCCAGGTGACCCAGTGTGACCACACCTTCCCTTCTACATCTCAGGGCCAGAGAGGCCTGGACAGGAGGGCAGCTTCCCAGCCCACGGGCAGCCCTGGTCCTTCCTCCTCTGCAGGCTGGGAGTACGGAGCAGGTGTCCCACCCTCCGGCCTACCCCAGATCTGGAACTCGGTGGAGAAAACCTACTACTCCTGTCGTCGCCGGCGCTGGGTGCGTGTGCGCTGCCGGAATCGCGGGAGGCTGGGACCCGAGCAGGAGACCCTGTCCTTCCTGCAGCTGGTGAGGGGCTGTGCCAGGGGCTGGCCATGACTGTGGGCAGGGTCCTGCCATAGGTGCAGCAGGGTGACTGCTTTCTCCCTGCAGCCCCAGCCCAGCCTGGCAGAGGGGGAGGGCTGGGAGTATGGCACCTTCGGCTCCAAGTTCCACCTGAACCCTCAGCCCCAGAGCCGGTTCCGCCGCCGCTGCTGGCACCGCAGGCTGGCCCCCAATGAAGATGAGGGCGTTGCACCCATATTCCTCCTGGAGGGATCCTTGGTACAGCCTAGGGGCTTGGGTGACTCCTCCCTGCAGCCCCACCTCCAGGAGCCAGAGCCCAGCCAGAGATGCCCTGTGGCAGGGGTGGGGGTTGGGGCCCTGGATGCACATCCCCCGGCTTTGCAGGGTGGGGCCAAGGAGGGGAGAGGATGACAGGAGCCTGGGCTGGAGGAGACAGAAAAAGCAGCCAAGAGCCTCACAGAGAATGTCCTGGGCCCAGCATGTGGATCTGAAGGAGCAGACTAAGAAGCAAGAGGACCAGGTGTCATCCTGGCACCTGAAAAAATCCGTCAGGTGCCCCTGGAGGCCAGCCCCAGAGGACATCCAGCCACCTGCCCTGCCCTTCATCTACTGCATCTTCAACAGTGAGCACTGACCTGAGAGCGTGCTGGGAGGGAAGGGGACCCAGGCTCCCTGTTATCTGAGGGCAGGGAGCCAGGAGGAGGCAGGTGGGGATCCTGGGGGCAGGTGACCTACACAGCTCCTCTCTTACCCAGAGCCCCACTACTACCAGCTGTTCTGCTACATTTACCAGGCCCGGAACCTGACGTCCAACCAGATCCAGACATTCCAGGGTAGGCAGCAGGCACCCTAGTCCCCAAGCCCCCAGGAGCCCCACTATATGGCCACCCAGCAGTATAAAGAAGGTGGCAAGGAAGGGGGTGACACACATGCAGACCCCTCCCCCCACCAGCTCATGGCCTTAGTTTGGGGAAAAGACACAAAAACAAGGAATACAAGGCTGCTCGAGCTGTGGAAGCAAGAAGGGGAGCTGAGGAGGCTTTACCCCAGCCTGGTCCCCAGAACTCCTCCAGAAGAGCCACCTGGCCCTCCATCTCTGTGACACCCAGGCTTCAACCATGGTAGTGTAAAATAGTCGTGGATGAAGCCGAATGATCCTTGGCCTCAGGTTACCCACACAGCTGCTCTGTGGCTGATGCTGAGGTGGCCTGCTGGACAGCTGGCCGTGGCTGCCCCCGCCTGGGCCTCCCTGGGTACCTGGTCTGGTGGAGGCAGCAGCCAGAAAGAAGAGCCTCAGGCACTCAATGCTCTCCTCTCCTTCCACCCCCCAGGACCCTTCATTCGGTTGGTCTTCTTGAACCACAGCCAGTGCACCCGAAACCTGAGAGACTCTGTAGCCCCCACGTGGGCCCAGACGCTCATCTTCCAGCACCTGCTTCTGTATGAGAACCCCCAGGACACCAAAGACAGCCCACCCCTCGTGGTGTTGGAACTGTGGCAGAGGGACTCCCAGGTAAGGCGGGCTGGCTGGGCAGGGTTGCTGAGAACATACGGAGACTGTTCCCGTGGGTGTGATGCTCAGCATCACGTGACATAAATATTAGCCCTTAGTCTAGAGCTGCTGGCATCCCAGTGGGGAGCCAGAACCCTGCCAGCTTTGCCTTCCAAGTTCTGCAAACCTCCCCTTCTGTCCAGGGCAAGGAGAGCTTGTGGGGAAAGAGCATGTTGTGCCCGGTGGTCTGGCTGGATGTCCAAAACCGGATCCTTCCCCCCATGAGATGGCACCCCCTTGTAAAACAGTTGGGGGAGGAAGAGGGCGAGGTCTCGGCGTGCTGCGAGCTGATCCTGCAGACCAAGGTACTGGGAGGGAGGGCCTGGCGGGGAATGTGGTGCTCAAACCCCACCCCGCCCCACGTTCCCATAGCCAGAGGTCCCCAACTCCACCCCCTCAGGAAAGGCCTGGGGCCTGGGAACCTGAACACAACTGGTGATGCCTGTCTGCCCATCTCTCCTAGTTCCCCTGACAGCTTCTGCCCATGGGGCACTGGGGCCTCAGCTTGAACTGAGCCTTCTTGGAACCTGCTTGAGTTGGGGGTGGGGGACAGAAGGACCAGTCCGGTGGGGCCTCAAGCTCCCTACTCTCCCACCTTATCCTCAGAGTCTCATAGGGAACCTGCCGATATTAAGTGTTCCCTGGAAGAATGGGGTCTACACACTCCCCAGGAGCATCCAGCCTACGCTAAAGAAAATGGCTATTGAGGTGATGATTGTGTGGGGTGGGGAGGGCAAGGGGAGTACAAGCATGTCTCAGAGTAGTGGAGCATGGAGGAGCTCTCTGCTGGCCCTCTTTAGGCTTCCTGACTACCTGACCCAAAGTTTGGACCCCAAAAGGATACACTGTCTGAGAGATGGAGGAAGACAGGAGAGAAATGAAAAGCAGGAGCTCTAACAGAATAGTGTAATTTAATGCAAATCTCTGCAGTGGGTGCAAAGAGTTTTAGCATTCATTGTCACATTTGAGCCTCATGCTCTGTGGTAGGGACAACCTTTCAGAGAAGGAAATTGAAGTGCTCAGATAATGTATCCCCTGCATGTGACACAGACCAAGTGGCACAGCCAGAATTCGGTCCCAGCCCTCCCTCACTCCAAATGCTAGGAGGTGTCTCACCAACCACTAGCATGGAGGTCCCCACATCGGAACCTCTGTGCCCTGCCACAAATCTGGCTAAGAGCAAAAGATGGTCGGGTCCTCCAAGAGCAGGAAGCCCACTCCAGCGCCTTGAGGTGGCCTTATGAGGGAGCCCATGGGCATTTCCTGGGGTGCTGTGTCTGTCACCTGAGTGAGGTCACAGGGTGCTGGGTCACTGGCAGCCATGGAGTGCTAAGGGATACAAGTCATCAAGGAGCTCGATGGCATGAGGGACACCAGAACCTGCAGGCCTTGGAGGCAGCCAGCCTCAGACACTCCCTCCTGAGGCCTGACTAGAGGACAGAAGAGGCAGCAGGAGAGGAAGGGCAATCCTGAAGAGCACTGGAGGTCAGTGAGGGATGGTCAAGTGGCCAGAGGGCACCCAGGTTCTAGGACAAGTTCACCCAGCCTCATTCCCTGGGCCCACGGGTCTCCTGATGCACCATCACTTCAGGAGATCCTCTGTGTGCTCAGGACCCTGTTTCAGAGGCCCTGCCTGCCCCGCACCCGCCCTCCTCTGTCCTGGCAGATCCTGGTCTGGGGCCTTCGGAACATGGAGCAGGTGCACTCCCCCCAGCTCCTGGTGGAGTGCTGGGAAGAGTCCTTGCAGACAGAACCCATCCCAGACTTCCAGACCAACCCCAACTTCACCGAGTCGGTCCTCTTCCGTACACTGGTAAGAAGGCCTCGGGTGAGAGCTGGGCAGCCCTCTCCTCCTGTGAGGCCCCCCCACTCCAGCCTGTTCTTGTGGCCACAGTACATGCCTACAGAGGAGGCCTATGCACTGGCCCTCACACTGAAGGTGGTGGACAATCAGGACTTTGGCCAACAGACTGTGGTGGGTCAGGCCAACATCGACTCCCTCCAGCCCTACTTCTGTGACCCCTGGGCCGAGGACTACGTGCCACCACAGCTCCCAAGTATGGCCCTTTCTCCTTGCCCTTTCCCAGGCCTCACTGACAAGCTGGCACTGGGGTGGGTGAGGCCATGGCTTCCCTGTGGGGTTGGGGTCCCTCCTCCTCATCCTTCTCACCTCTCCTGAGTCATGACTGCACTTTCTCCATACAGTGCTATCTGTGAACAAGCACCAGGAGGTGAGTCAGGGGCTGGAGTCCCACCTTCTCCCACACCATTATAGGGAACAACCTTTCTCTGAGGAGGGATGTGGTTGATCTGTGTGGTTCTATAGCCCAGTGAGGCCTGACTGTCCACAAGAGCTCAGTAATTCTCGTACATCAGAATTGCTGGAGGAAAGACCCAGGCATCAGCATTTTTTCCAGCCCCCTTCCCCAGTAATCCCAATGTTTTCAAGACTCAGAACTACTGCTGTAGAGCAGCACCTGTCCAGCTGGAATGTACAGGAATCCTTGGGACATTTTGAGCCAAAGCAGAGTCTGTTTCAGCAGGCCTGGGTGGGGCTTGAGCTTCTGCATTTCGGAGCTCTTCCAGAGTTCAGTCTGAAGCTGTGGGCAATAAAAATAAGACCTGTGCTAACCCTCCTCCTCCAATCCTGTATCTGAAGATCCCTGAGTTAAAAGGCCTCTGTGAGTGGCAAGGGAGCCAGGGAAGTAAGCACTGGCCTCAATCCACTCTTTCGCAGAAGTCAGAGATGGTGAGTGGGTGGCTGTGGGCTACCGGGCCTCCCCTTGCTCACCTGCTCTCATTTCTCAGCTCCTAGATTACCTCTTTGGGAAGTTCTGGTTCAAGTCCAGAGCAGCGGAGGTGATGTAGGCTCAGCCTTGGGGAACAGGAACAACCCCAAGCAACTCAGGGAGATGGGAGGTGGGGGGCAGCATGACCCGGGCAGCAGAAGGCCACTGTGCCTTCTGCCCGAAGGCCAGCGTGACCCTCTTCCCTGCCAGGACGAATATGAGCATGAAGTGGATTGGTGGAGCAAGCTGTTCTGGGCCACAGGGGATGCTGAGTCCCTGCAGTATAAGTACAAAGACTACCATACCCTGAAGGTTTGGAGACCCTGACGGGGGAGCTTGCTGGGGGAGGTGGAAGAAAGTTGGCTGGGAGAGGCCAGCAAACCTAGCCCTGCAGCACCAAGTGGGGGAGTTTCCTTGCGGTCTGCGCAAGACGCGAGGCCATACCTGCACCAGCTGCACCCTTGGGTGAACAGGCTGCCTGTGTCTGCAGCCCGCAGTGCTGCTTCTGGGCCCACTGACTGGGCAGACACACCGGGGAAGACCCAGCAGCTGGTGGTCCATCAGTGCCCTGACCCAGAATGGTCCCACTCTGGTCAAGCCCAGGCCTGCATCCCCACCAGCCCAGGTCCCACCCACCCTTGTGCAGGTATATGACTGTGAACTGGAGGCTGTGCCTGCCTTCCAAGGCCTGCAGGACTTCTGCCAGACCTTCAAACTCTACCAGGAACAGCCCAAGCTGGACAGCCCTGTGGTAGGGGAGTTCAAGGTGTGTGTCCACCCAGCTTCGGTGCCCCTTCTGTGCCCAGAAGACTCTAATAAAGGCCCTGGCTCTATATGCTTGTGAGGAGAAGACAGGGAGGGCTTGAAAATCAGTTCTGGGAGGCGGGGAGCAGACTGACTTATCAGGGGTTCAGGGTAGGTGCCTTTCCTGACACGGGTAGGGTGAGGGCCTTCTCACTCGCAGCTCTGGCCTGTGCTGGTCTCCCAAGCCCTGAGAGCCTTAGAGAGCAAGTTCAAACCTGATGGGTGGGTGGGGGTGGAATCAGAGTTCCCACCAGCAGAAACTCCAGTTCCTTGCCCCTCCTAACATGGTGGTCCCTGAAGATCGTCTTTGCTTGTACCCCTCTACCCGGCCTCACAGCCTCAGCCTGCCACCCACTTACCCCACTCTCTGCTGAGCTTCGACCAGGGGTGCCTCCTGGAGGGCTTTGTAGAGCCAGGCCAGTACTGCCAGGCTGGGCTGCCAGTACCTCCCCTCTCCAACACACACACAGGGTCTGTTCCGCGTCTACCCCTTCCCCGAGAATCCAGAAGCCCCCAGGCCACCCCGGCAGTTCTTGGTTTGGCCAGAGAGAGCGGACTTTCCTCAGCAGTGCGTGGTGCGGGTGTATGTGGTGCGTGCCATCAACCTGCAGCCCCAAGACTCCAATGGCCTGGTAATGGGCAGCCCCAACCTGCAGCGCCCACCTTCTGGGGCCCCACCCAGCCCAGAGCCCCACATCTTCCCAGAGCTCCCTCAGGCCGCTGCCACCAGACTGCCAACTCCCCACATGCTACCTGTGCTGCAAGGGCTCATTTCCACCCCACTCCCACCCTCCGTGACCAATCTGGACCGACACCATTTCCTGTCTGGCCTCCAGTGTGACCCTTACGTGATCCTGAAACTGGGACAGAGAAAGCTTGGCAACCGGAACCAGTACCTGCCCAACACTCTGGATCCCATCTTTGGCATGTAAGCTGCCCCAGCTCCCCCAGTTCCACTTCTCCATGTCCACCCGCTCCATGCTGGGACTGAAGCCAGGAGGCAAAGAGCCCTTGCAGTCCTAGCCTCTGGGTTCCCAGCCCCACATCTTCCTCTAGGTGCTCAGGAGGTAGAAGTAAGCAGTTGGGCCACCTCTCCCTCCTCCAGAGGGGAGCTCAGGGTCCCACAGCCCAGGCCCATCATGGCTATTTCCAGCCATAACGGGGACGGCTGTTGGCTCTGTTCTCTGTATTCACCAGGACCAGACAAGGGAGTGGGGCCAGGATGCTGGAGGGAAGCATGTAGGCAGCAGAGTCCATGGTCGCCAGTCTCCCACCCCCTTCCCCTAGGATGTTTGAACTGAGCTGCACTATCCCCCTGGAGAAAGACCTGGAGATCCAGCTGTATGACTTTGACCTATTTTCACCTGACGATAAGATTGGAACCACAGTTATTGACCTTGAAAACCGACTCCTGTCTGGCTTTGGAGCTCGTTGTGGTCTCTCCAAATCCTACTGCCAGTAAGAGTGCACCTGAACCCTGGCAAGGGCAGCGGGCAAACGTGGAGGAGGGAGCCCACAGCTCCCTTGAAGGAGGCTTGGATCCTGGGCTGGGAAACAAGGTGCCCGATCGGCCTCCACCCGCGCTCCCACGCCAGCCATCCTGCAGCATACAGCCGAGTGATCTCCGGGGCCCATCCCACCCCACCCCACCTTTCGCTCTCACAAATCCCCACAGGTCAGGGCCCTTTCAGTGGCGGGATCAAATACTCCCAAGCTTCCTGTTGGAACGCCACGCCAAACAGAAAGGACTGCCTCCCCCTCTCTTCAACCCTGAGGATGACTCTGTTTTTTACAATGGGACAAAATTCAAACTACAAAGCTTTGGTGAGAAGTATGGTGCACTTCCAGAAAGCACAGAACCGGGCCTCCAAAACCAGGGAGGCTCCAGGATTAGAGAGCTGCCCAAGAGCATCCCCTCCCCCTTTCCTCCCCTGGAGGGTAACCATGTCCACCTTCCAGGCTGGGGGTGGCAGAGGTGGGAGACCTACATGTGAGGTGGGAAGGCTAATGACCTTGTGGTCCTCCTCTAATCTAGAGCCCAAGCCCCCCACTGCTCAATATTTGGGACCTAAGAAAGAACGCCTTGCACTGTACCTCCTGCACACGCAGGGGCTGGTGCCTGAGCATGTGGAGACCCGCACACTGTACAGCGACAGCCAACCGGGCATCGACCAGGTAGGAGACTGGAGGGGCTGCAGCAGGAGGTGGGAGAGCCCATCCATCCTTGACAAGAGGGCAAGGAGAGACCAAGCATTCGCAGATGTATGTGCACAGCAGACAAGGATATTCTGCACATGTGAATAAGAAGCTCCAGTGATGGCATTTAGGATGGAGAAATTCAGAGCTGGAAAAGTCATGTACAAGAAACCAAGGCCACATATCAGCCATGGGAAGTGCTAAGGTGCCCTACCAGCCAGTGCCAATACTGCCTCCCTATCTCCTGGCTGAGGGGAGCTGAGGCATGTGGAGTCACACGTGCAGACATTACAGCCCTGGCTTGGCTGATAATTGCAAGCTATGCTTTCTCCATGGCAAGGAATCTCAAATAGAAGGAGAAAAATCCCCATAGGCACCCTAATTATCACTGACCCTCCAGTCACCAGAATGGGGCTCATCTCAGCCTCCAAATTTCTCAAGCTGATACACTGTAGATACAAAGTTTTCTGCAGAGCATTTTCAAAAACCATTCTTGTTAAACCTGTTTTCTCAAGTAGGATCAACTTACAGTTTGAAAGAATGTATTTATCTATCTTCCAATGTTGGTAGCTCTACCTTTACTTTTTTCCGTTTCACACCATTTCCATCCCTTTGTTAGACCTCTGAGTTTTGTGGGTAGTTTAATATCCTTAGGTTATGGTTACACAGCATAAAATAACCTATTGACTGATCATCTAGCTTACTCCTATGTGGGGCCACTAAACTGGTTCATAAATGAAGCCCCAATCCCATTCTGGAACCCTGTGCAGAGAAGCCTCTCTAGTATGACCTGCTCAATGGCTGTAAGTGCCCAGACTCCAGTGACAAGTGATGTCCCAGCACCATGGCCATCAGTCTCAAAGCCACCATACACTACCAACCTTACTGGACTATCCTCCCAGCCAAAAAAAGCAAAAGGGGAAGCTAGTGGATGGTTGCCTGACTTCCTGTCTGAAGTCCATCCCACCTGAGGCCTGTATGCCACCCGCCTTGGTGTTGGGAACACACCCCAACAGATTTCAGAATCTGGGATGGGCTCCCCAGGCCAGCATGCTGAGAACAGAGGCTAGCAAACCCCAGCCAGCAATCCATCTCTGCTCTAGGGAAAGGTGCAAATGTGGGTGGACATCTTCCCCAAAAAGCTTGGGCCTCCTGGCCCTCCCATCAACATCGAGCCCAGAAAGCCTAAAAGGTGAGAGACAGTCCGCCTCCCCATCACTGCACACCATGGGGCAGCGCTCTGAGCTGCGGGGTGCGGGGTTCTCAGACACCAAGTTGTAGTCATTCTTTTCATCCCCTGGGAATCTGGGGAGCTGCATTCCCCTGAACACTCCTGAGGGGAGCCTGGCTTGTGTGGGTATGGAGGGCAGCCTCCCAGGGCTCCCACCCTCCCACGGCTGCCACTGGGGAGCGATTCCTCAGCAAAGCCTCAGCCACAATGACCACAGGTATGAGCTGCGCTGCATTATCTGGAAAACTGCCGATGTGGACCTGCAGGACGTGAGTTTAAGTACCAAGATGAGCGACATCTACGTGAAAGGGTGAGGAGAGCAGGGCCCAACCCTGGGGTGACACCTTCCACTTCCACTGGTGCCTGGTGTCTGCTGGGCAGCCCTCCCCACAGCACTCCAGCACAGGGATGGGGACAGCACACCCGAACCCCAGGTGACAGGCCTTTGGCCCCAGGTGGTTACTGGGGATAGAGAAGGACATGCAGAAGACAGACATCCACTACCAGTCCCTGACGGGGGAGGGTGACTTCAACTGGCGCTTCGTCTTCACCCTGGACTACCTGCCAGCCGAGCGTGTATGTGTCCTGAGCGAGAAGGTAACCAGCCTGGGGCAGGCATTCCTCTCCCCTCCCAAGACCCACAAGCTACACCAGAACCCTGGTAATGTGGTCTCAGATGGAAGCCCTCTTCCTTGGCAGCTGCCACTGCTGGCTAGTGGGCTACTAAGGTGGCTGAGGGAAATCTCAAAGGGGCCAGGCTGGTAAGATGCTCTTCTGCTGTCCTCCAGGACTACATATGGAGCCTGGACCCCACAGTGATGAAGTTCCCGGCCCGGCTTATCATCCAGGTCTGGGACAATGACATCTTCTCGAGTGATGATTTCCTAGGTGAGGCCCTGGTATAGAGCCCACACCCACAGGATGGGGAGCTCCTTCTTGCTGACAGTCTTTCTCTGGGCTCAGGGGTCCTGGAGCTGGATTTGTCTGACATGCCCCTCCCCGCCCGGCACGCCAAGCAATGCTCTGTGTGGATGATGGACCCTGACCCCAAGTGGCCCTACTTCCTCCAATACAAGCGCTTCTCACTCTTTAAGAAGAAGATGGTAACTGGCTGGTGGCCTTGCCAGGTCCTTGATGATGGCAAATGGCGCTTGTCGGTACGAGCCGGGGAATGGGTCTAATGCACAGGACACGACTTGGCTCTAGCACACTTCTGGGCCCTTAGCTAAATCCCTTTTCCTTTCTGGATCTTGGCAAGAGGCCTTAAAACTATTCTTGCTCCTGCTTAACTGGACTCAGCCTCCCACCACCCTGTTTCTAGGGCAAAGTGAAGATGACTCTGGAGATTCTATCGGAGAAGGATGCCTTAATCAAGCCAGCAGGGCGAGGCCAGTCGGAGCCCAACCAATACCCTACACTTCATCCTCCCCTGTAAGCCTGAAGGGCAAAGCCACCAAATCTTCCTCATTAGGGAAGCTGAGATGCTGGGCCCAGCAATTTGCATGGGGCAGTGGGCCTCCAGGTGGTGAGGGATAGTTAGTTCTCAGCACCCCAGCTCAATGCCCAGACACCATCCAGGGACAGCAGTCTTGGTGGGCTGGTGGGGCAGAAAGCACAAGTTGCTTTTTAAAAAGAAAGCTCTCTGCTCTGGGTTACTTGACCTGATGGTTCCCTCTGCCCTCCATTTTCTGCCATCTCTTCTGGTGGACAGGCGCAGTGACAACCTGTTTACATGGTTTCGGTTACCTGTTAAAAACTTCTTCCGTGTTTTCTGGAAATGCTACCGCTTCAAAATCATAGTTGTCTCAATTACACTGATTGTAGCACTTATGCTATTCAACTTTATGTATTCAACTCCGGTGAGTGACAACCATGGGGACAGGAACAAAGGCACTGGATGCTCCTGGGATGACTGAAAAGCAAGCCTTCAAGTTGCTCCCTCAGGGTTAACTGTTGCCTGTTCTCTCTAGAACTATTTGGCCATGAGCTGGATCAAACCTAAACTTCGGCTGAATGCTCCTATTAAAATATTCGCCAATATCATCAACTCACCAACCACCAGCAATCCCAGCTCTCTCAGCCCCACCAGCCAGCATGTAAACCCGACGCCTACAGTAGACTCTAGGTTGAAACTTCTCCAGGGACTCAGGAATCACCTGCAAGATATCTTTCCAGAACTTCCAGCTCCACAAAACTAATCCGCCCATATCCCATATCTGCCTCACTTTTCTCCTGCTCAAAATCAGCCCTACCCTTGAACTCGCCACCAGTTCCGTTTCTACCTTCCAGAACACAAGCAAGGGGCCAGAGATATTCTGGCTGTTCTGTTTGGAAACCACTTCCAACAAGAAGGGTAGAATTATAATCTTCCATGGAAATAAACAAGTTTTCTGTGTAATTTGTGGGGGTTGAAGACACCATGAAAGATTGAAAACACTAGCCCTTCAGCTGAGAGTCACAAAGACAGGGAGCAGTCGTATTTATGAACCACCTCTAGTCTTCAGGGTCTCTTCCAATCCAAGAGGCTCTGCACAGAGGGACACAGAGGGAGAGGGTGACTATGAGAAGAGAAATGGTCATATGGAGTAAGCAGGCCACTGCTGTCACCCCTAGTGTGTATGCCCAGGAGTTATGCCATAGATAAGCATCTCCCTCCTCTAGGACATACCTGGGACAAAGGGCCCAGGACAATATTCAGCCCCATTCACAGTGGGAAACACTTGTTATGGCACAAAAAGCAAGACCTAGGGCAGGACATACATGCTAGGTTAGAGGTCCTTGCACCAGTCATTTCTCTAAAGCCAGCCCCAGGCTGGCTGGGGACTAAATTTCATGTCTTCCCTGTCCCTTCCAAAAAGCATCAAGGAGCTCCTGAGTGACAATCACATAAAACCTACAGGTTCCCTCTCTCTCTCACCCCCCACCCCAATGATGAGATTCTCCTGCACCGTGGTCTGGGCCATCTCAAGAGCCCACCTACATCCTCCTACCACAGGGTGGACCTATCCAATCTCCCCTTGAACTCAAGACAAGAGAGCCATTTGCTCTTTCAGTTCTGCCTGGCCTTAAGGCCCAGTTCTACATCAGTCAGTCTTCTGGCACCCTAGAGCTATCCTACTGTTGTGCAGATGTCAGGAGGAGGGCACTGCAGCCTGTGACGATTAAGTACATGGGAAGGATGTAAGAAAGCCCAAGATGATGAAAACCTATACTCAGCCAAGGTGACCTTCCTTTCCTTCTGGACTGAGCTGAGGGCTTTCCCAACCCAGGAAAAGGCAGGGCAAAATGGTCAACAGACTTGAGGGTCAGGAGAAAAGGCCTGGACCTTCCCCTAAATGCACCCCTAGAAGGAAGGACATGAGACAGAAGCTCACATTTGGTTTCCATAGCCATTTTAGGAATTTCCTTAGCCTATAGAGGTACATAGCTAGGGAAGCTCAGAGTTCCAGGCCTTCCAGGGAGACTCTTGCCTGTTAGCCAATTTAGTCACAGTACAGAAGGTGAGCAGCAGGTAACCCTTTGTCAGATAAGGCAGTGGAATAAGGGTTGAGCCACAGAAGGGCTGACACTCAGGCTCTGTTGCTCAATGACCATGAAACTTGTCCAGGCACAGGTGATGAGATTCTACTGTCCCAGATTTGCAACACAAGAACAGCAACTGTTTCTTATCTATTAAGAGAAAGAAGCCAAGTTTTTTCCTCTTCAGGCAGTATCCAAGCCAAGGCTATATAAGAAGAAACCTTCTTCATATTTTGAACATTCAAAACGGGATTCCAAAAATCACGATAAATACAAAACATGCAGTTAAACAGGCACCAGAAAGTCCAGAAACACATCCACATGGTCAGATCACATAGTAAATGTTGCTCCTGATGTCAAAACGTGGAGCTGGTCAGTTTCACAGTTAATCCCACTGCATCTGTGGCATCTTCCAAGCTTCTCTTGACTTGTACACCAATTTACAGGCCAAACTTGACTGAAGGTCTAAAGTGACCTAACTGGGAAGGTCACAAACACACCAGTGGAACCAAGATCCACACTAAAGGGCAAAGGCCAAAGCAGTGAGTTAGCAGGAGGCCCTCTCCCTACAGCCACCTAGTGACGGTTGTGAAACAGAACTTTGTTCTGCAGCCCCAGGTGCCAACAGAGAGAGAGAGGCATCCACAGAGTCTTTTCCAGCTCAGCTTGCATTTGGAGAGGACAATGAATGGAGGGAGAGGAAGGTGAAGGCAGGGAGAAGTTTCCATTCAGATTTCCAAGGAAAGCTCCTCAGGTGGACAGAGACTTAAGACAAAAAGCAAAAACCAGTGACCGGATGGCTAGAAGATATGAGTAGTTACCAGTGTTCTCTTCTTTGCAGATTTAAAAATGGAGTAAAAGGGTCCTCTGAGTCCGACCACAAGGCAGTCTGGGCTATGAAATCCCTTTCTGTGGTTTTGGCATTGTAACAGCACAGATTTTCTCCAGCCCTCTTAGCTCCCAAGGGGAAGGGGGTGCGGGGAAAGGCACATCAGAGCAGCACTGCCCTGAGCTGGGTGGGCTTCCTGAATCAGACTTAGATGACCCTGCAGATGGCCATGGCAATGCGGTGTCCCTGCATTCAAAGCTGCAGTGACAGGAGAGTCCCTGACCAGCTGTTGGCGGCTGGGGAAGAGCCCCTGGGCCGTGTGCTCAGGCCAGCACTGGCTCCCACTGCAGCAGCAAGCCTCAGTAGAAACGCTTCCGGCTCTGCTCCTGCCATTTGTTGTAGAGTATGATACCAATGACGATAGCAAATACAGAGAACACCAGAGAGAAAAAGACGATGAGGAAGAGGGCCAGGCCACTCAGCAGTGGCAGAGGGGCTGTCACTGGGGAAGCGAGAGAGACACAAATCAGAATCAGGGAGCCCACCCAGCTGGCAAGGACCAGCCAACCAGCTGTCAATTCCCCAGTTTCTGACACCCATTTCCGGAAGCCAGAGCACAGCTGCTCCCTTTGCAGAGGCGGCTCTGCCACAGCTCCTCTGTAACAGAGACAATGAAGAGGCAGGTGCAGTGCTCCCTCTGCACTCTTCAGAGCGAGAGCACAGAGGGGAGCCAGCCCTGCCAGCTGAGAGTGCGAGTCACCTCAGGCCTCCCACCACACCGCGACCTCCTCCCCAGCACAGACCATCTCCCAGGGTCCCTGCACTCACTCTCAGGCAGCTTCATGTTGTCCACTGAGGGCAAGAACACATCTCGATGCAGCTTCTCCTCTTCTGGGGTTCTCTCTACTGTCAGCTCAAACAACTTCAGGGAAATAACATCATGATTATCTAAAGGAAAAAAAAAAAGGATGAAGATTATTCAAACCACCTCAAAAAGAGGTATCCTGAAGTAGTCTGGTTCACAGCTAACTGTCAGTGACCTTGAAAAAAAACTGAAATCTGTTTTCTTATTTAAAAATACGGATAGGGAACAGGGAATATATATATTATTCCATATTTATTCTGGTTCAGCTAACTGGCAGTGACCTTGAAAAAAATTACTGAAATCTGTTTTCTCATCTAAAAATATGGATAGGGAACAGAGAATATATATACTATTCCATATTTAAAGTTTGTATCGACAAGCATGCATTACCTATATAATTTAAAAAATTTAGAGATACTGTAAGAATTAAATCCCATAGCCCATGTGTAAAACCCTCTAGCACAGTGAGAGGAGACACAGCTCTGCAGCTTCCCTTTACTGCAAACAACACACACAAGCACGACAGGGAAGAGCCTCCAAGCAGCTGCTTCCTGAGCAGGGAATAGCTGCTAGTGGAATATACCTCCTTCTGAACTACGCCTAATTCTTTGTAGCTTCTTGTAACTGTGACCCTGAATCTAACTAATCACCAGAGAATCAAACTAATAACCAGATAAAGGAATTAGGAACTCAGGTTTTTTCTCTTTCTACAATTTTTAAAGTATCATTATAAACTCAAAGATTCAAGCATATTTGATGCATTTCAATACATGAAGTTATACATCTTACTGATGCTCAACTCAACGCCTCTCTGTCCAGTGAGAGCCTATTCAAGCTGGCTCTTGAGTCCTTTTACACAAACATACAAGTTTTTGCTATCTTCCTTGCCTTTCTGGTAAGTTGCCAGCTTGAACATTTCCTGCCTGGCATCAAGCCATTTCTCCAAGAAACTCTTATTCCTTTTAGTTGGAATTGGTATTAAGAGACCACAAATCTGAATACCAGGCATACTCATTGCTAATAATTGGGGACTGGATTTCTTGCCACTTCTATGATTAGGATGGTACCTACAGCTTTTTAGACTCAGAATCTTTGACAGACTCCCAGATAGGAAAACACTGAATTTGCCTTCATTAGAAAGATGGTTTCGCTGTCAGGACTGAGTTTAAACCACGAAACAGGATAAAAAGCCAGGGCAGTGCTCCTCCCAATGGAGGGGCATCAAAGGATGAGACAGTTGGGATGTGTCTTAACCTTCTCAGCAGTTTTCAGCAATCCATTGCATAACAAGATTTCAACAAGGAAGACCTTGACTGACACAACTTGTATTTAGGGATATCCAGCAAGCAGAGAACACACACTTAGTGACACAGGCATTATTACTAAACACCTAAAGCAAAGGACTCCTCAGGAAAAACAAAAAATTATTCTCTTTGGCCATTTCTAAAATTGGGAACAACTTCTCATTGAAAAATACATTGGGGGTTAACTGAGCAGGTCCTAGAGATCTGTAAGCACAAAGGAAAATATGTAGACAAGGACACCTCATTCAACTTGAGTCATATAATACAATTATCTAACAGAGATCTCAAGCCTGTGCCTCCTGTCCATGTACCAACATGAGATCTGTCCCACAGCTTTGGCCTGCCCGCACAGTATGTGGAACCCAGCTGCCAAAACTAGCTCTTCAAATGGCAGAAAGTAGATCAATGGCTGCCTGGAGCCAGGGTAAGGGAGGAATGCCGCCAAGGGGTGAAATGTTCTATGTATTGACTATGATGGTGTTTACACATGTGAAAGTATTTGTCAAAACTCTGAAACACATGCTTCCACTGTATGGAAAACATACTTAAATAAGTTGATTTTTTAAAAAAAATCAGTTGCAGGATTTTAAAAATTAATATCATTTTAAAATTCCACATTTCCAGCTTCTCCTGAAAATCTGGAAGACATGGCCTCACTGAACCCATACTTTCTCCTGGAGACAGTGTTTGGAATGAGCAGCAGCTGCCTTTTCCTTTTTTGTCACAAGAAAGTTCTATTTCCTACTAGCTTTATTCATAATAAAGTATACTCATCAAAAGAACCAAAAGTTCAGTTCATTTTCTCTTCTCAAACAACATTATGACTGGGGCTGAAGCCAAGGGAGAGGATAAGCATGTAAAGAGAAGCTACGAATCAATAACAAGTGGGGAGAAAATCCAGAGGAAGGAAAGTAAAAGAACAAGGAACCGTTAACGTCCCTGAAGTACAGAAGGTAAGAGCTTTAGAGTAACTGGCCACACACACAGAAGTAAGGCCACAAAGGGAGAACTGAGCAGGTCCTATCCACACAGAGAGACAGAGGTCACTTTACAAGAACAGTGCCAGGGGAGTGGCAGCCAGGCTGGCTCAAGGGCAGGAGGGTGAACAGGTGGATGGCTAGGAAACGGGAGCATCTGTACTCAAGACACATTCAGAATTTGGAGCACAGAGGAGAGTCTAGAGAAGAGGAAAGGCAAGTCAAGGAAAAGCTCTGTAAGAGAACTGAGCACACTAGGAGGTTGAAGGAGAGGAGCCTGACTGTAGGAAGGGACACCAGGGACAGGAGAGCATGGAGCTCAGAACTCGGGCTGGAAGAGGTGGCCTGATGGAGAGGCAAATTCTGCTCTCTGTTAGCACCAGCTTCTCCTGTAGACAGCTATAGTAGGAGAGCCCAGATCTAGGGTTCTTAAGGGACCCGGATGCAAGAATACAAGAAGATAAGCCCTCTCAGGGCCCTCGATTCCTAGAGCTCTGCTTGTCTGGCTGTCTCCTCTGAGAAGCCTCACCAAGGTCTGGCTCTCAAGACGTGACTCAGTCAGGGCAAATAGAGTGTGTGCATGGCAGTACCCGAGAGATCCCCAGTGATGGAGGAAGTGCCAAAGTAGTAGCCCCGGGGCAGACGGACCCCAGGCACTTCAATGCAGTCCCTCCACTCATGCTTGCCATCGATGTCCATCATTATCTAGGATAAAAAGAAGATATAAGTCAAGGCCGGCCATGAAAGTAGGGGCAAGACAGCCCATACCACCAACTGGTCCAGAACAGACTCACCGTCAAATGCCTCTTGACATAGCGAATCACAAGGAAGGTGTCATAATGGAGATTGCGGACAATGGCTGAACAGCCCCCCAGCTCTGTAGGCCGCCCATCCCGCTCATGATCATAGCTGAGGGAGCCATTGTTCACCATGGCTGAGATGTAAGGGAATACTCGCTGAGAAAGCGGGGAAGAGAAAGCAGACAGTAAGGAAGTGCTCTTAGGAACACCTGTACAAGCAGCCACAGGAATATTGCACATACAAGCTGAGCTCCTTACGTAAACCAGACCACCACTCTGCCTCTGCAGCAGGAGCCCCCGAGAACCACCACTCAGATGCCACTTAGGGAACAGCCCAGGAAGTACCTGCACTCTGTACTCGCCTTCAGGAATCCTCCTTGCTACCAGTCTGGAGTCTGACTGGCAGCTTGCCAAAGATCACCATTCGACACTTACATACAGGCCAACACTGATGGTTTTATACACACACATCTTTGTGTATACACACACACATCCCTATCTCACCAACTGCCATGTAAGCTTCTTGAAGAAAGCATTTATTATACGTCTCTGCCTGTCTCCACCTTAGCTCATCCCCCCACCCTGGTTAAGTGCCATGCACACAGTGGGTATTCTGAAAGTACCTGTTTGTTAGGGGAATCTTTCCATTCAGGATAGCTCCTTTCAAATTCTAAATCCTCTAAGCAAATGATGCTAAATGGATGAGAACTCAGAAAGAGCACTGCCAGGCTGCTGGATGGTGATCTGCAGCCAGATGCCTGTTCTTGGTCAAAGGACCTTCCCGCCCACTCATGCATCATCTACACTTACCTCTCCCATAACAATCTGGGCAAGGTTCTCCCACAGAAAGTGTCCCTGTTTCCCACCTACCTTCCCACCTACTTCAGAGGCCCTCTCTCTCTAAGAGAGTTGTAGGAACAAGTTCTTCCTTAGAAACAGTGAGCTAACCATTCCAGAACAAGCCCAGTGCTAAGGCCGTGCAGGGAGTCAGGGGGAGCAAAGGACAGGAAACGTGAAACATGCCACTTCTTTGGTCAGTTCCTCACTGTCCTCAACAGCCAACATGCAAGGTGAAGATGTGATTGAAATCAGAGACTGGGGACTCTTGAGACAATAGCCACAGGGATGTGAACAGAAGCAAATGTTGGATGGACACATAGGGAATAAGGGGTGCCCACAGAGGGTCAAGAACTGAGTACCTGGACTCCTGGAGAATATCGCCTCTTCTGGGCCTGAGAGAGTCCAGCAGGTTATTAGAAAAACAAGAGAGGGCACAGAAGACAGGAGACCAGGTCAGAAAGGAACAGCCATGGAAGGGTTATGGCCCCATGCTGGTAGATGAGCAAACCAATTTAAATCCCCACAGGATTTTAGGGTCCCCAGGAAGCCCTAAGGACCTGAGGCTTTCAGAAGCTTTGTAAAACACGCTGCATTGCTCTGTCCAAGCAGGCCCCACTTACATCTTTGAGAGTCAGACACAAGTTTGTTTGTAGCCAGACCACAGTACTTCTGTGGCAAGGGGGAAGACAGGAGTGACAAACAGGGCTAATTCTTCCAAAGTCGAGGTGTCTTTCTCCACCCAGGATATAGCTCTTGCCCAGATGACAAAAATACCACTATTTGAGATACTATGAACTCACTCTAATCCAAAGGGATCATTTACCCTTGTATTGAGCCTTATGGACATAACTCTCCAAGCAGCTGTTGTCATTCTAACCTACAACACATAAACAAGGGAAAGCTCTCTGGGAGCATTGCAGCACCACAGATTTAGAAAAATCATGAGGCTCACAGATACTTAGCTTTGCTCTATTAAACTGCCATAGTTCTAAGCTACCAGCAATAAGAGCAACAAGATCAGCTCAGTCCTGCCCTAAAGGCAGGGTGGGTGAGGGTGTAGAGCCCAGAGTACTCCTTCCTCTAATACAGGGAGCACCTTTTAGGAGCCAAGCCCTGTTCCAGATGCTGGGAGTTCAATGGGAAACAGACAGGTATCTGCTCTCATGGGGCTAACAAACAACAAATAAGAAAGAAAATCAGATTATTTCAGATAGTGATAAATGCTATGAGAAAAATAAAACAGGTTACTATGATAGAGACTGATAAGGGGACATCTGAGCTGAGACCCCAGTAGTTAGAGGGAGCCCACCAAAAGTCCTGGGAGCCTAAGAATGATGAGGTTGGCACATTCAAGGACCATTAGACAGGGGTGTCTGAAACATGGCTCGTGAGGAAGAGGTCGGTGTGAGCCAAGCAGGAGCCAGGCCACACTGGGCCTCATAAGCCACGGTAAGATTAAGGGAAGTCTCAGCACGATATGTGACTAGGGGGGCACGTCCCCGCCTACAGAAAGCTATGAAATGAAATCAGCAGATTAAAATGCTATAAAACTACTTTTCTACAACTGCCATTTTGAACAAGGGAATTGTGAAAACATTATCCAACGATTTATAGAAATGGGCCTCTGACAAGAAAGCTTGGAATTTCAGGAATAACTGAGAAAAAGACGGGCTTAAAAATGCCCTCGGAAGCAGTGAGGACCCCAAGCTTGCTCCTTTTATCAACCCCAGTACCTGTGATCAGGAGTTGAGTGGCCACTTCCAAGAGAATTCCTAGGGCAAGTATCCTGAGCCTAATGGGACCTTCCTCTTCCCAAGGCTGGTGAGGCACCCGATTACCCAGTAACAGCCCACAGAAAGCACGTGTCAATCACACAGGGGAGCTTTCTGACCACACTTACATGTAGGTCCCTCAGTCAGAGTCTCAGTAGGTCTAGAGAGGTGCACAGGATAAAGTATTTTTTTTTAAGTATCACAGACTACTGTGATGTGCAGCCAAATTTCAGGAAGACTGCACTAGACACAGACCCCCACAGCTTCAGGGGCTGGAATCTGTCTATTCGGCAACTCACAACCTGGCCTTTAACTCTTCACCTCATTAGCAGTACATCTGTGAATGCCATCTTATTTTCTATGCCCAGGCAGGAGTTCCTGAAGTGTGTTTTGGTAGCCACTAAGTTCACACAGCAGCAATTTTTCTTTCCTTGGAAAGCAGCCAAGGGAAGTTAGAACCGAAGGCTTAAGAATCACGCTGACTCACACAAGGTGGTAGTTTCATTCCTAATTTAAGAGTCACTAAAAATTAGGAACTCCACCTATTGCCCAAATAATTGTCTATAGGGTGAAGAAATGTTTTCAACTTTATGTACCAGGTCACTTAAAAAAAAAAATGACTCTCTACATGGTAATTGTACCTTCAGCACATCTTGATTGAAGAGAGACCCATGATGTTATGGATTTATGGATCCTATGCGCAAATCCCACAGGCCCAAAGCACACAAGCTGTGAGCCACTAGAAAGAAAAAAGAGCACACAAGGCCCTGCCATCACTGGAGCCTGGGCTCTAACTGCTGTTACACCATTCACAGTTCTCTGAGCTTGGGTGGATTACACCATTTCTTTGCTACCCTGTGTCCTCACTGTGAGCAGAGAGCGTAATACAGAGCTCACAGGGTCAATTATAAAAGTTAAATAAGATAGGTAAAGCCTTTAGTACAGTGCCTGGCATTCAGGAGGGAGTCAATAAATGTTCACTCAATCAATGATTAAATTAATACATTTCCAGATACAAAATTGCTTACAGGTAGGTGCTCATGCATATAAAAGCACAAAGACAAACATACATCTTTTAGAGTGGTAATTCCCAGAGCATTGGCTGTCAAATGCCAGTGAAATGTCCATTTGGAGGACTAATAGGTTTGCCCTCTTTTGTTTTTCTGACCTACTAAAAATAGTAAAATATGATAATGACAGAACGATCTATATAGCAAACATTTTTAAAAAGAGCATTTTAACACCAAAAAAACAAAGAACCGTGTTGCTCGTGTGAAACCAGAGCATAAGATTGTATATAAAATAAAAAAGGAACTATATAATTTCATAACAAAACATTTTAGCATTTATGAAAAGTCACTTCACTGTTCCTATTCTTTGACCCATGAAACTGACTAGTTCATGAACTAGTGTTTAGAAGCCAATGTCTTAGAGCAGTTTTTTCCAACCTAAACCACACTGCAGTTGAGTAAGCTAGCCATGATTGCTCCCTGGAACCTGTGAAGAAAAGGCTGGTGGGAGGGGAAAAGGAGAGAATAGACCCACAGCAGCTACTGCCAAGAGGACTGCCAAATGTCCCTTGGGAATATCCTTAAGTGTTGTGAATCACAGCTAGCATGTTTTGAGAATTTCCTCTTTACCTAGCACTGTATTCAGTAACCCCTTCATTAATTTCACAGCCCTAAGGGGCAGTATTAGTATCCCCGTTCACAGGTAAGGAAACTTGTGAAATGAGAATTTGAAGCCAGGTTGTCTGGCCCTGGGGCCCTGGCTCAGGGGTCACTGTGCTATACTTATCTCAACATCTATTAATATGGAAAAATGTTCAGTACATACTGTTAGATACCAAAAAAAGCGCAAAACCCTAAGTCTCCAGTGTACCCTGAAACACAAAGAAATACTGGAGAATGGATCCAGACTAAAGGAAAGGAGAGACATGACAGCTGAATGCAACATAGGATCTGGGAGTTTCTTTTACTATAAAGGACCTATTGGGACAACTGACCAGTAGATTAGATAATAGTATTGTTATCAATGTTCCTGATTTTGATCACTGTGTGCTATGTAAGAGAACTTGTGTTTAGGAAAAACAAGTGAAATATTTAGGATCAGGGGAGCATGACAAAGGCAATTTTCTCTTAAGTAGTTCAGAAAAAATATATACACATGCCACGAGCACACACAGACACACTGGCACAAAGAGGACTAAGAGAAAAGGGCAAGGTGTAAAACATCAACATTTGGAGGGGTCTGGGTGAAGAGCATCTGGAATTCTTTGTTGTATTCTTGTAACATCTAAGTACTACTGAGTGCAGGACCAGGGGCCTTGCTCACTAATTCCCAGGGCCTGGCCCCTAGAGAGTGCTTGATGTATGGTGGAGCGAAAAGGAACCCAGAAGCAACTCTGTAACTGATACACAACAAAAGGTTATTCTCTTAACTCAAGTCTCACTTTCTACCTCCTCTAAGGTGAACTCTGGGGGAAATGTCAAAAACTGCTGAATCTGGGTGTTGCATATACAATAATCTGTTCTTGTGATTTTTTTTATAAGTTTGACATTTTTCACAAAAAGCTTTTGGGGAAAAAATACAGTGAGTTCTGCTTCCACTCCTAATACTGCCTTTTCTTGCTAAATATTATTTAGCCATGGGATACCCAGCAACAAACTGTCATAATCATTTCCCACCATCTGATGGCAGGGCCATCGGGCAGAGACAGTGCAAACCTTTGCCAGAATAAGAAAGTACTACAGAACCTTAGGGTCAGCGAGGAAAAAGCAAGAAGCTTCTTCTGCCAACAGACAGATACTGTATCCAACAAAATGCTGGGATTTCTTCAATTTCCTTCTATAGCCTTTTCTATAGAAGAGAACTGCTGCTCAGGTCTGAGAAGCAGAAGAAAAGGATGCTGGGAAGGGTGAGCAAGCTGCAGAAGGGAGCACAGCAGTGCCATATTAAGTCAGGGGAGTTGAGTTACATAAATTCAGCTTCTTCTGGTGCTGACCCAGTAGCCATATCTCCAACCAGCCACACACGCTCGATTCCAGCAGCTGCCTTGTGTGCACGACACAACACTGTTAATGCCAAAGAAAAAGCTCCATTGGTGACAGCCATTTCCAGAGGACTGTGCACCATAAGCAGTTCTCTCTAGAAAACCCTGACAAGGACATTAATTTTTGAAGATCAACAAATGAAAAAAAGAGAACCAAACCCCCTACTTTCTTTCCCGTCTGTTCTCTCGTGAACAACATTTCCTGAGGCAAAGGAATGCAACGTCAGTGCAGCAGACCTAAGCTCTGACACTTGCCGTTACCTCTTGCTGCTTCTCCTCATTGGGGTAGGTGTCTATAAACACTGCCAGCCCCACAAATTTGTCCATGTTTCCAAACACAGGCCCTAGAGAGAGAGAGAACAGATGATTAACAATGACATAAAGCCAAGAGTTGATAAAGGAATAAATAACATAACCGTAATGGAGGGAAACGTGAAATACAAAGGACTCCCGGGTGTCTCTTTAAGATGAGAAAATGTAACGTCAAAGTACCCAGGAAAGCACCAGCCTGTAACAAGCACCCAGTACCTAATGGCAGCTGTTTGTTACTGGAGGCAGGGGAAGAGAGGCCATTGCAATGCTTAGCACTACAGGCACTCCCTGACCCAAACCGCTTGCTAAGGTGTCCCTGAAGAATTCCGCTTCACAAACACTTGGTGACAACTATGTCCCTGAGAGAGAACTGAATTAATTCCCAAGTTCCGCTTCTGGTTGTAAAAGAGACTAGGTCAAATCAGGTAGAGCTTTCGCCACGTACTTGGAGCAATGACTCCCACACCACAAGGGAAAATGGATAACCCTTCTCCTGACTCAGGAGTTCTGAGATTGTTCACTGTGCTTGCCCAGAAGAAATCAGCTCACCCAGTCGTTAAGTGTTCTGGACAGCCAGCCAAAAGGCCAGGTGGCTTCAAAGCGAAACCGGAAGGAACTAATAAGCAAGAAATCACCCCAGGATGAGTCAAGTTCCGCTGCTCATTAGGACTCAGACCCCATACTAGAGACTAGACAGGCCAGTCTTCACCCACAGACATCAGGGCAGAGGGAAACTGCTGGCACTGTGGGGACATTCCCTTCTCAAAAGAGAACACATGAAAAACAAGCCTGTCATACCCCACACAAGAGCAACCCAGGGTCCCAATACCTGGCCGCATCCGATCCTTTGTGTACCAGATTGCCAAGCCATCCCCATGCAGATTTTTCTTCCCTTGTCCATGAATTTTGAAGTGCACCTGCAACTCCCAGTCTCTCAGGAAACATGGCTGAAGTGAAGAAGACATTAGAATCAATGAGGGGCACGAAATGCAAAACCCCTCAAGCCCTCATCAGCAGTCTACAGACTTGGAAAACATAAAAGCAGGGAACATGAGGCTAAGGGTCAAAACTAACACTTGCTAAATATATCATAAAATTAAATAGACTGAGCCACTGAACTGTATATTTTATACAAAAGTTGAATAAACCTCCCAATTATCTTCAATGTCTCCCAATAGAAACAGGATAGTACTCTAAGTTGGAAAAGTCAAGAGCATGCCAAGTTAGACTACCGTGACCCTATACCTACCTAGCAAATTTTTTGGACTATAGAGTATAGGTGGCTGAAATAAGGCACATTTGCAACGTAAGACCACCCCTCTGACAGAAAGATCCTAAAAAGCTTGGATTTAAAGAAGGGTCAAAACCTCGTTCGTGACGAAAGAATAAGAAAAGCTAAGTCATTATGCAGAGGCTTCCAGAAATAAGTAGCCGATATTATAAACAACTCCAATTAGCTAGACTTGGCACTATGTCAAGCTGAGGAGCAAGCCAGAGTTCACCCAAGAAGGGGTAAGTTCTGGTCCCCCAAAACCTCATGCCCATGGCCTAATAAATGCACCAAAGGAGACCAACAGCTTCCCCACCCCAGGGACAGCCTTCTGTGGGAAAATGTTAAGGGATGTGGGTATTAATCAGCCTCCCGGTCTTCTTTTTTTGAATTGTGTATCAAAACTTGGAAAAATGGAGGAGTGAAGAGGATGGCTAAGTGTTCTAAATAGTTAAACACTTTCAAGGAGAAACCAGAGTTGGTATTTGATTAGAAAGGCTTCTGGTTAAAGTTCACCATGAAGAAAGAAAAGAAACAACTGAAGAGAGACAAGCAGGGTTCAGCCAAAGGCTCTATACAGATAGATTGTTCTGGCTCTTGAGCAACATATTACTAGATTGTTTTCAGTTTTCATTTTTAATTTCTGGAAAATCTTCCAAAAGTGTTTGTATTAGTACATAGTCAAAATGAAAGAGGCTGTGAATACTTCTGAATTCACCACAGAACACTGAAATCTCCAATTGCTGACCTTACTCTAATGAGCCCAGCCCTGTGCTGTCATTCCAGATTCCCAGCTTTCTTCTGTTTCATTTAGGTTTCAGGTCAAGACTGAAACTCAATGGCAGAAAGCTGCCCCATAGCCAGTGGTAGGTATTATGCCTCTGGAAAGAGGGCAAGCCGAGAGAAGTTCACACTGAGCCAACAGGTGTCTGCTATTTATCCTTGGTCTCTGGGAGCACAGTGCATTACAATTTTGCTCAGGGCTGTATCTAACAGTGGTTCTGAAACTTTGCTGCACATTAGATTTACCTAGGGAGCTTTTGAAAATCTCAGTGGCCCAGCTGCACTCCATTCTAATTAAATCTGAATCTCTGAGCGGTGGGACCCAGGCATCCACTCCAGTGGAGAGCCAAATTTGAGACCCCTCCTCAAACAAATGCATCCTATTCAAATAACTCCAAAGCTCATTCTGATAGACAGAAAACAAAAATTCAGGTATCAGAGAATCTGAAAAAGGGCAGGACAACTAGCTCTTAGACTAGAATTGCTGCTTCAGGGAGTTATGTTGGGCAGTTTGCAAGACAGCAACAAAGTATCAAGCCCTGGACATAATCATTTAGGAACCACAGACCTCCATCAATGAAACTTGCAACAGCTGTGTAACAACAATGCACATTTCTGCAACCATTTTAACTTTCCGAACTTTTCATGACTACTGTCTTATTTTAATCTTTCAATAATCCTGGTGGGCAAGCAGACGGTATTATGAAGCTCATCTGGCAGATGGACAAACAGAACAGAGAGAGGTTAAATAACCGTCTAAGGCTCACAGTAGGTCTATGATACAGCTAGATCTAGAGCCCAAGTCTTTCAACTACCAGCCCTTCACCTCTTCCACCAGAACTTACTGCCCTACACTCTGACCACAAACTAGCTCAGCCTACAATCGGGGTTAAAGGGCCAGCTGGCGCAAATAGCTCATGTAGAAACTTCTTAACCCTTTGTTCCTTTAAAACTCTCTGCCACATAAAATGAACTGGGAAAAGACACTGTCCTCTTTTCTGAGGCTCACTTATCTACAACTAATGATTAAAAGCAATGTAAAACTAAGTTCTAAGCTTATGAGAACCCAAGAGAAAGTAGTAAAGGATGCCAAGGTCATTCCCAAAAGCAAAGTGGTTGTAAAAGATTTAGAAAGAGCCCTGGAAACCAAAAAGAAAGCATCATCTTACACTTGTACAAAATCACAGTGCAGCCACACAGGAATACTGCATTCACTTCTTGCCGCCATACCTCAAGGAAGACAATGTAGCTAGAAAAGGTCCAGAGAAGGACAAATAAAATGACCAAGGGCTCAAAGTGGCTTCCACATTGAAAATAAAATTTAAAATTAGACTCTTCAAAGAGAAATAACAAGGGGGGACATCAGGATGAAGTCTGGGATAAATTTAAAAGAGCAGTCTTGTACTTTACAAAGCAAAGCAAATTAAACATGAATTAAGTTATTAACCTCCAAGAAGTAATACTACCAGGTTAATCAGGAATTAAAGACATTTCAGAAAACAGAATCAAAATAAATTCTTTGCTATAATTAGGGCAACAGAGAACATTTCCCTAAATATCTGACTTCATTATGAAGGTCATCATAATCTCTGAAGTGAAAATCCTTGATAACCACAGAGACAGAATACTGGGGTAACAGGTCAAATTAAGTCAAAATGCCACTGGTGAACTATTTAGGGCTTTCTGGGTCACCAACAGAAGAGGAGAAAGATTCTTACCACTCGGTTCCACAGAGCACCCTGTTTACTTTGCATATCTGGGGTAAGGCGGATATACTGGGTCATCACCATGGCATTGCCCATCAGATTCCACAGTGAGGAACTGCCTGTGCCCACACCTATGGAGAGGAAGCAGATTAATTCATACTTCTTCAACACCAGCCCAATCAGAAAGCCAACAAGGACCCTCCAAAAGCTGGAGTCATCTTTTTTTCTCTTTCATGTCTCATTTCAGTCTCCTACCTTCTGTCACTTATCAATCTTAACTCCTTATCATGTTTACAGCTTCCTTTCACAAAGCCTCCCTGATGAAGACCCCAGAACACATCAGAGCAATCACATTATCTATTCCACGGTAACCAGGTAAGTCAGGTCCACTCTTCCTATTCTGTATGTCAGTAAATTCTAGCACCATGAGAGGAAAATATTTCCCCAGCTATCTATCTAAAAAGAGCTTGACCCTCAGATCTCTGGGGCTTAATTAGATTCTTTCTTTAAACAAAGTATGAAGCTACTTCTCCCTGTAGGTCAGACTGTAAGCCCCTTGAGAGTGGTAACTTTGTGTCTGTATAATTCACAGTATTAGCAAAGAGACCACCAGCACAGAAGAGGCACTCCATCCGTTAAGTAAATGATCACCCTTACCAGCAGATACGCTCTTGCACTCTGAGTTGTTGTTTGTGTGCTTGCTGTCCCCCATGCAAACTCCAATGGGGCAACAGGTTTTTGTGAGTTAAGCCATCTGCACTGCTTTAGTCCTTTATACAACTAACTACATAAATCTTCTGGTTGCTAAACCGTACCTTAGGGCCTATGAACCCTAAACAGAGCAAAACTAACCAGCCTTTTTTCATCAGTAAGGCTCCTGGACTGGCGAAGAACAGGTGTTTTAACCGGCAACAGAATTTTATGTTCTTTCTCAGTCAGGCCAAGTTCTACCCCAGTTTTGCCTCCTACTTTCTTTCTAGCACATCCACAGCTCCATCCGGAGACCAGCTCATTGCTGGTGGCCCTCAATCACTCCCCGACATTCACAGTTATCCCCCCAGCCACGTTCCTCGTGTCCAACTCCGAGCATCCTTCGTCCAGACCTAGCGCTAATGGCATCCAAGAGCCCCGCTTCCACCTGCAGAAAACTTCCAGCGCTGAGTGCGGGGGAGGCACACCCCCTAACCTTGGGACCAGAGGCTCCAAATGCGACTGGAGTCCCGCTGGGCCCCACCTACCGCCGGCAGCTTTCTGAGGGCCACGGAGCCCTTCGCCGCCCCCGCATCTACGGACGAGCTCAGGTCCCCAAGCCCTCCCCGCGCACGACCACCTCGCCCGGGGCGCCTCACCCTGGTAGGGCTTCGACAACGAGTGCTCCCGTTTCAAGTACTCGAATGTTTGACCCGCCCCGACTTGCTGTGGCCCCTGCCCAGACCCCAACAAAAGAAGAAGGAACAACATCCTAGACCCATCCCAAGCCGACAAACGCCGCCGCCACTGCTGCAACCACCCAGAGGACCCCAGAGCCGCCGCCATCTTTCCCACCGCGGTCCGCTCAACACAAGCCCGCCCCGTCGCTCCAGCCATTAGCCCAGGGAACCATCTGCCTCGCGTCCCATTGGCTCTCGCGGCGTCCCCGCCCCCGCAGGTGAGCATCTCACCGATTGGCTGGCTTGTGTATCAGTTGCCTTGCCAACCCAGGAAAGGGGCGTGACCGAATGCCTGTACTCCTTCATTTGCATCTGTCCAGAACTCCACCGGGCCTCCTGGGAGACAGTGATTTCATATTTTGTCCCTGCGTTCTAGAATAAATTTAAAGAGATAAAATGCTTCTGCCAGTTCCACGCAAACGTTCTATTCTCTGCCATAGTACCCTCCTGCCTGTGAGGAGCTATCAATCAGGATATAGAACTGAAAGGAGAAATAGGCAGATCCACAATTAAAGTAGCTGGAAAATTATCAAATTCATAAGACTTAACTTGATGACATTTATAGAAAATCCACATAACAACACGAGAAGACACATTCTCTTCAAGTGCAAAAGAAACATATACCAAGATTGGGCCAAAAAGAAACCTCCACACCTCCATATATTTAAAAGAATTGAAAGTACACAAAGGATGCTCTCCTACATGACAGAATTAGACTAGAAATCGATACCAGATTTCTGAGAAATCCCCAAATATTTGGAAATTGAACAATTCCTTTTTAAATAATCTATGAAGGAGAAGAAAGTACTGGAGGACTTTAAGCAAGTCCACTAAGAAATGGAAAGGGCAATCAGTACTTTACCTGAGTGGTACAATAATTCACCCAGGACCTGAGGCCAAAACGGTGAGTCATCCCAGCTTCCTTCCTTTCCCTCACCAATTCCACCATCCAGCCAATAAATAATCAAGTCTTGATGGTATTATTCCCAATTATTTCTCAAAGCCATCACATCCTTTCCATCCCTCCCTTCATCTTTCTCCCCAACTACCACATTCGTCTTGATCTTTGTTCAGGCCGTTATCATCCACATGCCTACCCAAGGGACCTAGACCACCTTAATCATGCTGTCTTCTGAGCATTGGGGTTAAGTGAGTTGATATTGGTAAAGCTGTCAGGGTGGTACCTGACATGTAGTAAGCACTGTATCGTCATCATCATTATTATTAATGGAGTCCTTGCTGGCTCATCATCACCAGTGGCTCAGAGATTCAAGCCCCTCAACTTGTCACACAAAGCCCTCTGACCTCTGGCCCAGCCCTCCTCTGGCCTTACTGCCCACAGCTTTCTTCCTTTATCTGTATGCTTCTGCTTCCTCTCTTCCCACTCCTTTTCCACAGCCCCCTCCTCTTGGAGGCCTTCCCTGACTCCCTCAGGCAGGGGCTCTGAGCTCAGAAATCTCAAAGTGCCTGGAGCTCATTTCTTACAGAGCACTTTCCAGGTTGTGTCTCTGTTTTTCCAGTAGTTAATTCTCTCTTTCTTTTCTGCTTGTAAATATATGTAACAAGAGAAGTATGAATGTAAGAACTGTTTTACAGGGGATCAACGTTTTAAAATTAAAGCTATGACAGCCATTGATCTTTTGCACACTCCACACAAAGCAGATGTTTGGTGATAAGACATTAGGAATTTTAGTGAACCTATTTGTGTCATACCCTGGCTTTAAATTACCATAGGACAAAATCCAAACTCCTTAGTGTAGTGTTCAAGGCCCTTCATAGCCTGACTCAAATAAGGCCATACACATGTCTATTACAATATGTGTCAACCCAAATTATGTAGCTCAATTACCAGATTATGTTTTTGTCTCTCCAGCAAGGTTGGGAACTCCTAGACCACAGAGAGCAGATCTACTCATTTCCTATCCTAGACCATTCCCTAACTCATCACCTGGCACATAGTAGGGGTTCTAATTGTTTTTAATAAAATTATTTCCATTGAATTTCTCTGTTACCTGCAATTTTTTGATTGTGGCAAAATATACATGAAATAAAATTTGCCATTTTAACTGTTTTTAAGTGTACAGTAAGTATATTCATGTTGTATGAACTGTCAGCTGGACTAGAGTATCTCAGCAATCGCTCATCATAAAATTCATTATGATAAAGGAAAGGGTATGAGAGACAAAATGCACAGGATAATAAATCAGATGGTTTTGCAATAGGGAGAATGCTCACTAATGAGGAACCTATCAAAGAAAAGGAAAAGGGCCTGGGGTTTTATAGAGGCAGGTAAATAAGAGAGTTATTAGAAGGAAGGAGGGAACAAAACCAACCTTCTCATCAGTTGGATGTTTTGCTAAAAGCTGCTGAACCAATTTTTTCTTTAAATAGTTTTTTAAGTTACTAAATAAACTAGCTATTTAAAAGAAAAAAAAAAGAAAGGAGGGAGAGGGTCTTATCTGGGTCATTAAGAAAGAATGGCAGTGGGTCTTAGAATATTCTAGAGCAGATAGTCTTTTGAGTTAGCCATTTCTCAGAACTCAAAATGAAATGAGGGGGACACAAAGGGATGGGGGGATTTATTGACAGTAGCTGCTTTCCAGAAGTACAGAGTTCACATAAAGTTCAGTGCTGTCAAGTGCCAAGGAGAGGCACAAGGCCCTACCCCCACAGACGCACCTCCTGAAAGCCGGGCCAGGTCACGACCTACCATCGTTTCAGCTGCCTAATATTTCTCTTCTTCTTCATGGGATCATCTCCTGTGATCTAGGGCTGCATGCTTCCAGGGTGAGGCAACATTCATATGCTCAACTCAATGTGAGCTGTGCATTCCAGCAGTCCTGCATGATTCCTCCAATTTCTTGTCTTCTAAGCCAAATGTTTAGGTACCTCCACTTAGGAGCACCTTAAGGCCTTATGTGTCCCCTGCCCCATGATGGAGGCTCTGAGGTAGACTCTTGGCCCCATCCTCTCCTCTCCCTCCTGTCCTTCACTTCTAAACCTTGCTATTCTGTTTAAATCCACCCCCACTCAAACCTAGGACTCAAAGCAGGCCTAACATCAAAACCAGACAGACCATTTCTCCCTCTTCAGGGATCCAGGTTGAGCCTTGAAATTGAGACTATCTTCAGCCCTAAATTCACAACTGGCCTAGCCCTACCCGGCAGCACCTCCAGTGCTCTGAGCAGATCCTGGAGCATAGAAGGGGACAGTAGCTCTACCACCAACTAACCAGCTACTTTCCAATGGTGGCTTAATGAATCCTGGCCTCACAACAAGCTACAGTTCAATAGCCTAGAGCACTTCTGGCAATACACAGATGCCTGGGTCCCACTCCCAGACACCTGATTCATAGGTCTGGGGTAGGTCCCAGGGATTTGGTTTTGAAAATCTTCTCCCAGAGAATCTGTCATGGAATCAACTTTCAGAACCACATCCCTTTCACATGCCATATCTCTTTTCAACTTCCTAATGGCTTGGTGTGATGGACAAGGCAGGCAATACTCCCATTTAAGATAAGGACGTTGTACTCAGTCGAGAGAGTAAATTTCAAACAGGGAGCAGCACTTGAATTTATGGGTAAGATTTAGAGATTTGCTTTAAAATACTCTGGGGAAAATTGTGTTGGGGGAGGGTAGGATAGATGCAAAAAAAAGGGCAGCAGGAGGCTCATAAATGTTGGAGCTGGGTTATGGGTACAT